AATTGTTGTTACTAAAATTATTATGTATTTCAAGATCAAAGACTGTTATGATAACATTTAATATAATAGTAACATAAATCTTGTAAAAGATTTTTTAATTTGTTTGTATTTTTTACTTTTATGGTATTGTAAATAAATACCAAATGTAACTTTTATTTAACTTTTTTCTTAGGCCAATCCTGCTTTTCATCGAAGCGTTTCCTGCTGTGTGTGGATCGAAATGTTGTACATGACAACATCCCCTCCTTTATTTCTGCCCTGTGCATGATGTTTGGGAGCTATTATTGCTTCGACATCCATTACCCATCAGAGCTGGCATCAATCTTGGAGTTTTTGCAGAAGTATGTGTTTTTGTACAGGCTACAACATTGAAGTGAAAAAAATTAAAGTAATTGATGCAGTGGCTTTTTATGAATACTTAAATTGCTAATGCAAAGTTTTCTTTTTATTTTCCCTGGTTTATATGTATAGGTTAATACATTTCAATATAGTTTCAATTAAAAAGGTATTTTTCCCCAGAAAAAATAAGTAGTTTTTTTTATCATTAATACAATTTAATTTTTTCTGTTTTTTGCCCAGGTGTTTCTTCTCTATCAACCCAGAGAAAGGCACTAAAGTGGAGAAGACAAACACAGCCCGTCTTCATGTGAACCCAAGAGTTCTTACCTTGATTCAGGAACTTTCAGATCATGAATGGCGTGACGTCTAAATATGGACTGAAGTCAGTAAGATTTGACATACAGTGAATGCCAGTTTCTCAGGTTTGTTTGATCTGCCATGCTTAATGTATGTGTTTAAGTTAGTACACAACTATTAGCGTTTTTATCTAGTGTTTTCTGAATTAGGTTATTCCTGAATTGGTTGTTTGTATGGAATATTTGTTTATAAAACAACTAAATGTTCTTAAATCGATTTAAAAGAAAAGTTGGTAGCACTTTAAAATAACTACAAACTATTAACCATTTATTAAGCATTAGCATATAGTGAATTAATTTACTGTTGAGCATTAACTCTACTATAATAAACATAAGTAGACAGTTTATAGCTACAGCTAAAAATGCTGTATTCTTGACTTAAAAGCATGTGTATTGTGCTTAATAATTGTGTTTTCATACTTGGTTAAAGATTCTTTTTTCATTACTAAATTAAGTATAGCATTATTTACAAACCAGTTATTTAAGAGTAGTTGGTGGTTTTTTTAAGATCATTCAGAATGCGCAAGTTAATTATTAATAAACTATTGAAATCAACATTTATATATCTTATTATTCGGGCATATATTAATAGTTAATTTTTATGTTAATAAATGCTTTATTAACTCAACTTCATCTAGTTTTGTGACCTAATCTAAAGTGAGGACTATTTATGCTTTATAAATCCCTTATTAAATTCTTAACAGGAATTATTTTTTTTAATTTGAAGAAACACAAATGAAACTCTGTCAAATGAAAAATTAATCTTTGCAATCTTATGTAAAATAAAATTACTGTACAGTTTAAACATCGCTAAATAATGAAATGTTGCATCCTATTATATTGTTAAATTATATTGTTGTTTAATCCAATTTTATGTCATATTATGACACTCCTGTTATTCAGTAATGTTTAAACTTTACAGTAGTTTAACTTTTTAGATCAGATTGAAAAGATGTATTGGTCATTTTATACTGAGCCTTTATTAGTCATTTAGAAGGGATTTATAAAGCATAAATAGTCCTCACTTTAGATTAGGTCATAAAACTGGATGAAGTTGTGCTAGTAAAGCATTTATCAACATACATGGTAACCATTTCTATATGCCTGAATAATAAGATATATAAACATTGTTTTCAATGGTTTATTAGTCATTTACTAACTCACTCAATTGTCTTAAATATCTCCAACTGCTCTTAAATACAAATGGTTCGTAAATAATGTTATACTTAATTTAGTCATGAAAAATCAATTACTCACAAATTATGAAAGTACAACTATTAAACACATTATAAATGTGCTCATAAGACAAGAATACAGCATTTGTAGCCTTGTATATAAACTGCTTACTAACATCTGTTAATGTAGAGTTAATGCTTAACAGTTAATGTTAATAGCTATTATTGTTAATAGCATATAGTGAATAGTTAATTCACTATATGCTAATGGTTGATAAATGATTCATAGTGTGTAGGTATTACAAAGTGTTACCGAATAGTCTTTCATTTTATTGCCATTTCAATTTTAGTTTTACTGGCAATGTCTCCCATGTCTTTGTCTATAATTTTCCTTATTTGTTTTTTTAAAGAAGACAATCATTAATCTGTCACATGCTTTCAAAATGGTGAATGTATAGTTTGTAAGGAAAGTAAGCAATACAAATGTGAACTGACAGACAATGTTGACTTGTTTATGGTTAATAAATACAAATTATAATTTGGTTACTAAGTCTTTGAGTGCTGTTTCTGGTCTAAGCATATCTAGAATTTATATTCCTAAGTAATGTGTAACATACAAATTATCGTATTAATGGTCAAGGGTAAAGTAAATGATTTACAGTTGCTACTGAAATCAAACTATGTTCAGTATACGAAACAACATTGGTCTTCTTAAAATAATTGGTTTAGGTGTAGTTGTGCCATTTCAGAAAAGATTTACTTGTTTACTTTTTGATAATTATGAATAAACACAATTGACTAAAGTGATGATTTTATGCTGTTAAGTTGTTTAGATTTTACAATGTATTCTTGTTACATAATTATTGTGGCAACCACAGCTGCCAGATTAGTAATTCTATATGTTCAACAGTTTTAAATTGTAAAGAGGTTTACATTTTTATTGTAATTTTTACAAAATTATTCTGGCAACCACAGCTGCCAAAATATTTTTGTAAAAACAACAAGATTTTTTTGTTAAAATACTAAAAATGTAATTATTTCTTACACAAACTTTCTGTAAATTTTACATAATATTAATTTGTTTTTACATAATTATTCTGTACATAAACAGTTTTAAATTGTAAACCGGTTTACAATTTTATTGTATTTTTTACAAAATTATTCTGGCAACCACAGCTGCCAAATTTTTTTTGTAAAAACAACAAGATTTTTTTGTTAAAATACAAAATATTTTATTATTTCTTACATAAAATTTCTGTAAATTTGACATATTATTAAATAGTTTTTTACATAATTATTTTGTACATAAACAGTTTTAAATTGTAAACAGGTTTACAATTTTATTGTATTTTTTACAAAATTATTCTGGCAACCACAGCTGCCAAATTTTTTTTGTAAAAACAACGGAATTTTTTTTACAGTGTATGTATAAAAAAATCCAAACAAGTTAGCCGGATATGTTTTTAAAGACACGACTTTTTTTATTTATTTATTTATTTTTATTTTTTATTATAGTTTTGAAACATTACATAAAGTAAAAATACAATAATTCAGATATATATTATATTCATAAACATTAATATAGTTACAAGATCCAAAAATGATAAAGTAAATATATAACAGGAGAGAAAAAAATTAATAAAAAATTGCAAAAAAAAATAAAATAAATAAAAATAAATAAATTAATAAATTAATAAATAATTAAAAAAATAAAAATATTACAAAATACTTCTATACATATAAACTAAAATAATAACTTAGGATACAATCATCGACTACAGCGGGGGATCAGAACTAGAAAAAAATTCCTTCATGAAATCTAACATTAAATCATTCTTTTTGTTTTTAATTTGCATTAGAGACTTTTTCAGATTTTCCATTTCTAATAAAAAAATATTACATTTTGGTACACATTTCGCAAATTTCTGTTTATGTATAAAATATTTACCTTGTAAAATGTAAAAGTTAACAACATACTCGAATGTTCTTTTTGTGTGTGAAAAAGTGCAAATCACGTCTTTTAAAGATAGCCTGTAATTAACATTTCTTTGCCCAAATAACACGTCACTAACATTATTCCAAAATTTACGAGAGGCATCACAGTTATAGAAAAGATGAGATAAGTCTTCCTCATGTATATTACATAATGTGCAAGTACTCTCAATATCCATGAATTTAGATAAAGTTGCTTTGCAAGGATACATTTTTTGAAGTATTTTAAAGTGCACTTCTTTAACCTTATTTAAAAGGCAAAATTTAAAGGGTATTGACCAGGTAGCTTTCCAATTAATATTAATAATTTTTTCATTCCAATAATATTTCCCTCTAGGGGATATTTTGTGTTTAGATTGAAAGACTTGTCTAATTTTTTTATTATTATATGATGGAGAAAGTATGTCAACACTGTAAATTTTTAATTCTGGGAGTATCTTTTTAATGCCTCCATAAGAAAGGTGATTATTAATTAGTTGTATTAAGCCAGCTGGAATAGCCTTAACCACTTGGTGAAATTCTTTAAAAGGAATTGGAAAGTTATGTATCCTCACAAAATCTTCATAAGATAGTATGTTTCCATTATCATAGAACAAATCTGTAACAAAATATATGTTTCTTTGATACCATTTATGTAAAAATAAAGATTTGTTTCTAGAGGTAATAAGATAATTATTCCATAAGAGAACTTTATGAGGAGAAAAGTTATGCTGAAAACAAATTTTCCAAGCCAATAATACTTGCTGGTGAAATTTGGACAATTTAAGTGGCAATTTTCCAGGAAGATAATTGCATCTCAGGAGAAAAGACAGCCCTCCAAGCTTCTGAAAGATAAATTGAGGTATAAAGAACCACATTGAGTTTCCATATTTCAGACAATTTCTTAACCAATTAAGTTTAAATGTATTGTTAATATCAAAAAAATCTATCATCTCTAAGCCACCTTCTACTCTTTTACCTGATATAACGTCCTTTTTTAATTTATGTGGTTTATTTTTCCATATAAAATCTAAGAAGGATTTGTTAATATTTTTGGAAATGTCATCACTAACATGCATAGAAAGAGCAGGAGACACGACTTTTTATAAACAGGAAGTTGAATGATTACGTATGCCGTGAAGTCCCGCCTTTTCCGACAACAACTAGGATGTAGTCTGTTGCTGTAGTGCATTTTGACTACAGCTGATAAAGGTATAACTTGATGATATTTTATCCGAGAGCTGATCTTTGACAGTACAATGGCTGAGTCTCCAGACTGTCGGAGTCTTGTTTCTGCGTCGTCACAGCTCAATTTAATGGAAATAGAGGCGGTACGTCTGAGATTGACTAACGTTAACGTTAAGATGATTCAGTGTCTATGATTGTGTTAATTTTTGTTATAATTGGTTTGCTTATTTACAGGTTATTAGATAGGTGCGCTTCATTTATGCTTCTTTCTTTTACGTTTGTCACTAAGGTCGTGATTGTTTTGTGCATAACCGTTATATGTTTTTGTAATGTATTATTGTTATTATATTGTATGTATGGTAAGAATCCTCTGCACTTCTTTATAGCTCTGTACTTTGATACATGTGCGTTTTAATATTAAACATGCATTTACATTGTAGATTGACGATAAAGAGTTTGACATCCCTCAAGTGGACACACCTCCGACCCTAGAAAGCATCCTTAATGAGGTCAGTATCAGACTGTCTGTTTTTTTTTTTTTTATTGTTCCCTATCAGCACCCTCAAGATATTAGATGTGCAAATTCACCAGTCGAAGGTTAGAACGCACCTTTATGCTCTTTTCAACGTTTCATAATGTAGAGACAGTTATGAAACCAAGTGACACATGTAAATGGGTTTATGGGAATTATGGATAGACCAAGATTTTATAAACAAACCCTAATGTAATATTATCCACTTTTACAATCAAATGTTTAAAATAATTTGTGAAGAAATTAAAGGGATTGTTTATCCCCAAATTAACATGATATGCTAAATTAAAAACCCCCACAAAAACTAGGGATGCTCCAATCAGGATTTTTGCAGCCGATACAAAGTACTGATTCTTTGTCATAGTGATTGGCAATGCATAAAGCACATTTTTCCTCTACGTATGTTACTTAAGTGGAGATATCTTCTTACCCAAGATAAAAAAATTAAGGATGTTGCAAATTATCCCTTAAACATTTCTCTTATAGCCATTTAGGTGTGAACATGTCATGGTCAAAAGCAGATTTACAGAAAATAATAGATAAAACCTAAAAAAAATTGCTCAGAAAAATGACAAACAAAGCAATATGAAACATTTTTCAAATTGCATATTTAATGCATAAGAAGTTCAAATGCACACATCCCTTACTTCTTTACTAAAATAGACCTATAAAGTACTGTTTATTGCAGTAAGTATATTACAAGAAGTTATATTATTAAATCTTCATGTAAAAAAAAAAAAGTTTTATTTATGTAATTTTCCAGCCAGGTTTTAGTGAAATTGCAATATTGTCAAAAACACAAAACATTCAATAATTTTTATGTAAAAAGGCCTGAATACATGCAAGGTCATTCTAATATTTTGCTCGTCCCCAACTAACACAAACCCTTGCAATCGGTTCATGATATCAGCCAGATCAGCAAGTACCGATTGAGTAATTAAATGTGGTTATCGGCCGAAAGCAAACTCTGGCTGACTAATTGGAGCATCCCTTACGAAAACTGTAACATTATTCAAGGAAGAGATGGAAATTCTGTTACCATTTACTCATCATTCACTTGTTGCCAAACTCTTTCTCCTGTTGAATACAAAGGAAGTTATTCTGAGGAATATTGGGAAAAAAGTAGTTATTGACATCCACAGTAGCAACAAAATATTCTATGGAAGTCAATGGCTATTTTACTTTTAACATTCTTCAGAACAAGAGAAAGAAAGTCAAATATATTTGGAACAAGTAAAATATTTTGTTTAGTGTTAAAATATATTTTTTGTTAAATAATTTAATTTTTTTTATAAATTTGTACAACTTTGTTCTTTTTAATATTTTAACATGCTGTATTTGAAGGTCTTTGAATTTAGCAGACATTACATGCATTCACAAATTTAAGATTCTTTAAAAGAAGATATATAATCACAAGTTATTTATCTTAAGACTGAGTTTTCAGACACACAATACTAAGTTTAGAATTTAAGTAAGATTAATAATAAACTTACCAAACAGAAGACAAGCACCCAAAACTAGTGATAACAAAATCATGTTTTTGCAAGTAGAAGTGCCTTAAATTTATTTTAGCACACTATCTATTCATTTGTCAATGCTCTTTGATTTATTTCAGCCTGAAGATGAGGATGAGCCATTCATTTTAGAGGACACATGTCTTTTGAACACAGAGAACATTGATGCCCACTCGTGTGAGACCTCTTCTTTGGCCAGCTCTGACAGTGGAGACCGAACGCATTTAAAGAGGAATGCGCACTTCCTTTATATTGTTGTTCTTGCCCTGTTGTGGTTTTTGTTCTGCTGTTAAAGAAGTATTTTCTTTTGAGTTATTATTCTGTGTGTGTTCCCCTCAGGAGGAGGAAAGCGGTGGAAACTAATGCTACAGTGCATGGATCTGTTCTTAGACGCAATGTGCTGAAGGGCATCTCAGCTCAGATAGTATCTGCTGCGGTAAGAGGAATAATACTTCATCCACAATTCCAACAATGCTGTACTACATAAGCTGTGCTTAAATATGTTGTGTATTTGATGACTACACTGTAAAAAAATACATTTGAATTGGGACAACATGAGGGAATTAGGTTAACTTATTACATTCTAAAGATTTAAGTGGATTTAACATAAAACAATTAAGCTGTCTCCAAAAAAAAAAAAAGAATAATTGTGTTGTTTCAGCTTGGTTTGAACAAACAACATTTTTTTGAGTTTTTGTTCATTAAATATTTTTGTAACATTAAAATAAGATCACATTTGTTAACATTATTTAATGCATTGCATACATTTAACAAATGTACTTAATGGCCCATATTAACCTTGGTTATTATTAGTTTATTAATGTTCATGTTCATATTAGTTCATGGAGCTTTATGACTTTTTAAAATAAATTATAACTTCTTGCAGAAAATATGCATTATTGAATGTTAATAAATGCTGTATGAATATTGCTCTTTGCTTGTTTATTCTTAATCATTGTAAATGTGTTTTGTGTTCTACCTCCATTCAACCAATTGTTTTTTTTACTTTTAAATAAACAAATTAGTATTATTTAAATTACAAAAAGTTTAACTTGCAACTTTTTCCAACTGCTTACACACAAAATCTTTTTATGTCACAAATTTTCTGAATTCTTTCACTGGAAATGCAAACTACACATCAAATGTCCAAAATCTCAGCCTTGAACACTTTTTTTCAAAACACTACACACAACTCTACCTAAAGCACAAAAATCTAACAGAAAACTACTTGCTTTCTTTTTCCAAACGCAATCAATCAAAATGCTACACTTATTCACGCGTTCGCTCAAACACTCTTCACACCTACCACATATTTATCTTTTCTAAATTCTAAATTCTTCTAGAAAAGGATAAAGGAATTATTCTCATCACTGTAGAACATTGTATTGAATTGTAGATATAAGACTATACAGTACATAAGAAAGAGCTTTATATTTAGAACAACAGTGTTGACATGGTATATCCAAAAGTGTTAAATTATAAAAGATGTGTTTGCCATTTGATGCAAATGCTTCTTTCTGACATTTGTTTATGGCATTTTGAATGCAGTGTTACATTTTGAAGGAGATGTGAGCATTTTGTGTGCACACTTTTGAAAATTGTGTGGAGAGTTTTGAAAAAAAGGGACACTTTTTTTTTTGAAAATGTGTGTAAGCAGTTGGAAAAAAACTGTAATATCTTTGTCAATTTGAGTAATGTAAGTTGACGTGATAATAAGGGTTCATTTGATTCAGCTACAATAAATAAGGTAGATTGTATTTTTCATTTTTATTTAGATTTTTTGGCTCCTTTAATTATTTCAGTTTGAAATCGTTTATGTTTGTGAATTTGTGTAGCTTACTTTTTTATTTTCTGCTTTTACTGTTTCCATTTCCCTTCAGGATAAAGTTGATGCTGGCTTGCCGACGGCGATAGTGAGTATATGTCTTTCTTGTGATTTGTAATGTTTTTTTTCTTCTTATTTTTTCTTCATCTTTAAAATGCTTTTGTATTTGCAGACTGTTTCAAGTGTGATTGCAGTAGGAACATCTCATGGTCTGGCCTTAGTGTTTGGTAAGCTTGCCATTTACTGCCAAATGACACTAAAGTGGAATCTAAGTTATGTTTAAGTTATGTAGCAAGGTTATGCGTTTGTTTAATCATAGCAGTATATTTCACGTTCTTTTGCAATTGTTAATTAACATAAAATTTAAAATGCAGCTTGTGTAACCATTATTGTTATAAAATGAGAGTTTTAAACCACCATGGGACTATTTCTCTGCCTTGGCTTTTCTTGTGTGGGATGTTCAGGAAAAGGTAATGTATCAGTAAGGTACAAGATGTGTTTTCACTTCAGTTTTAAATTTGTTTCCATTCCATCATGTTTAACATTGCTACGCAGTAATACCTTTTTCACACTGGATATGTAAGCAGAGCAAAAGTGGCACCACTTGTGGAAACCATATAGCATTCAGTGTAGTGTAGTTAAAAGGTAAAAAAAAAAAAAAGACAGAAAACAAAAAGTCGTAAACTGATAATGAAACTGACCATTGGTCCAGTCTTTACCAAATTTTTCCTGGATCTTCTTCAGACCATATAGACCAGATTTCTGGAATTCATGTTAATAGATAAAACTGCTGTCAACAGTCATTCTAAATTTATCAAATGACCTTAAATAGTTTTGTCATGAGACTGGTCTTGCAGATTCCTTGGATCATAAAGAGAACAATGGTATAATTTATTCCCTAATTGACATGACTTCCTGTCCACCTTCTTGAATTAGTTTAAAAATCTGTTGTTTTGAACTCTCCCTAGATCCTTAGCCCAATTTCCACTAAATTTGGCCCAGTACATGCTGACAAAAAGTTATAGGATTTTCCAGTTTTCTGTAGCTTGTTGCCATGCTCATATATGATGTGGCGGCTGGGCTGCTTGGCCCTGATAATTGCTGCTTGCGGAAATATTTAAAACTAAAATTAAAATGACTATTCATTTGTTAAAAAATAAATAAATAATGAATGTGTTTTTTCAGGAATCCAGAAGTTTGAAATGTTGAATATACTTTACAAGGTTTCCAATGATTTAATTTCAGATCAAAGCGTTTACACAGGTTTTGCATCGACACCATGATTTGCATTGACACTATGCTAAAAAAAGCCAAGTACAGTATTTATAATAAATGAAAACATTGTCTTTGTATAAGACGCAAACTTCTTAATTTCTTTTGGAGTTTATTAGTGTTGAAAATGCTGCTTGCATCGTCTAATGTGAAATGACCTCAGAGCATGCTTAACCAATTAAAATACACTAGAATGACATGAACTGAGAAGTTTGTGATGGCTGTTTGCACGCTTTTTGTTTGTGTTTTGCTTGCGGTTGCATTTGGATCTATTATTAAAAAACAAAATCACGAAGCACTGTTTGTGTTACTTGTTGAATTATATGCCTGATAAAACATAATTCTTCTGTAGCCTCTAGTTTTTGCCTAATCTTTATCTTTTGAATTTAGATCAGAACCAGGCTCTGCGTCTGTGTCTGGGCACTACAGCGACAGGAGCAGAATATGGTGCTGTGTCGGCTCTCAGCATTAATCACGACTGCACACGACTGCTGTGTGGCTTTGCCAAAGGACAAGTACGCGGCACCAATCTATAAACTGACAAACAACATAAATTACAAATTAGCAATGATGTCGTCAGTCCAAATGTTCAGGTGCATATTTATGGGAAGTCTCTGTTTGTTCTTAATACAGATCACCATGTGGGATTTGGCCAATGGGAAGCTGCTGCGCACCATTACTGATGCCCATCCACCTGGCACTGCCATACTACATGTGAAAGTACTGCACTGCATGTTTTGTATGTGCTATATATGTTTTGTTGTTCAATCAAATTGAATAAAGCTTTTTTAATTCTCTTTTTGCAGTTCACTGACCACCCAGCGCTGGCTGTGTGTAATGACAGTGGCGGATCAGTTTTTGAGCTGTCATTCAGGTGAGACATGCTTTAAAAGCTTAAGATATGAACAAACTAAAGCATATTTGTGCAGTGGAAAGGGAATTTGGTTTGTCAAATCAGTATTGTAATGAAAGGAACTGGTGGGCAGGGGGCAGTAGAGCTTCATCTATTCTTACAGCACCCCAATGGCTGATTGTAATACAAATGTATTTTACCCATTTTCCCTTTAAACAAACTTGAAAAACTCAGTTAATGAGGTAACGCGGGTAATTTAGTTTTATAGTTTATTTGTACTTTAATGCATGCAAATTAAACCATGTAATTGTTAAATCAACTTTAAAAATAAAGTAAAATAATTGCCAATATGGTATTTGTAATGCTCTAATTTTATCCTCTGTATTAATCTAAAATAGTATTTTTCTGGTTCTTTTGCTGTCCTCCCTGTCTGTGTTTTTCTGTCATTTCAATCTGAAATGTGTTTCTTTAAAAGTAAAAATGCCGCATTTTGAATAAAATGCAATACACATGCAAATACAATCTATTATGCAATTGTTTCTCTCTGCCTGATGCATCTCTTTCCCTGATACATATTTTGTTATATTATGCCTTTTTATGATAAAAGTTACTTTTATTCTGGATTATATATTATATGTATAAACTAAAATAAATGTTTGCTTTGACATAGTATATTTGTGTGTATTGTGTATAAACCGTTGAAGTCTAAATTATTAGCCCCCCCTTTGAATTTTGTTTCTCTTTTTTAAATATTTCTCAAATTATGTTAAACAGAGCAATGAAATTTTCACAGTATGTCTGATAATAGTATTTCTTCTGGAGAAAGTCTTATTTGTTTTATTTCGGATAGAATAAAAGCAGTTTTAAATTTTAACATAAAAATAATTAGTCCCTTAAGCTATATATTTTTTCGAAAGCCTAAAGAACAAATCATCGTTATACATTAACTTGCCTAATTACCTTAACCTGCCTTGTTAACCTAATTAATCAAGTTAAGCTTTCAAATGTCATTTTAAGCTGTATAGAAGTGTCTTAAAAAATATCTAGTCAAATATTATTTACTGTCATCATCAAAAATAAAATAAATCAGTTATTAGAAATGAGTTATTGAAACTATTATGTTTAGAAATGTGTTGAAAAAATGTTCTCGCCAGTAAACTAAAATTGGGAAAAAAATAAATAGGTACTAATAATTCAGGGGATGCTAATTCTGACTTTAACTGTATATTATGTATATGTAAATACACATATGCATGCATATATTTAAGAAAATGTTTTTTATATTTAGATTATAAATAGGGCTGCACTATATATTGTTTCATCATCGATATCGCAATGTTTGCATCTGCAATAGTCACATTGCAAGATCTGGAATGCTAAATTATAGTTGACCAGGAGCTACAGAACAAATGCAATTTGTAGAGTCACTGCTAAGTTAACCATTATAAAGTGAAGGTTTATCATTTGCTTGTGTTCTGAATGCCTGTGACTGAGCATTTCAAGAGAGTTTAAAACAATTGAGCACAAAAATGTTTGGAGGTGTAACAAATATTAATTGCATTTAACTATTTATACGGGATATTTTTTTCTTACTTAGAATTTTTGTCTTGTTTCTAGTCCAAATATCTACATTTTTAAGGGAAAACTACTTTATATTTATATTACTTTACTAAAAATGTATTTGTTTAGTTTTGTTTCTATGTATGTGTGTGTATCACATATGAATAATACATATATAATACACTCGTATATTATGTCAAAACAAACTTAGTTTAGATGTGATTAATCATGATTCATCTTTTATCAGCACAGATATATATTAATGATAAAAACCCTTTCATTTATTAAAATATGCGACAACATTTTTTCCCCAAAGTGACATAGTAGAATATATAAAACATCTTAAGTTTTCATTAATTTCAAAAACAACATTTTTATGAATCTAATAATATGCCAAAACAATCTGAATTTGAATTGTGTTGATTGGAATTATTGACAATTGTAATTTCATAAATCTGAATTTTATGTGCTGTTAAAAATTTATTTGAATTAGAATTTCTTAATATGCATTAGAATTTCTTAATTTGAATCTGAATTTCATAACTTGAATGTTGAACATCTGAAATGTAAGACAACTGAATTTTTTTAGGCTGATTTTTTATAGACTTATTTTCGAACTTTCAAATTTTTTGTTTTTGTTTTGAATTCATAGACCACAGATATCCAGATTGTAAAAATACAGTTTCAAATTTTCAGTTTTTAAATTTAATATCCTAAAATTCAAAACCAGAAATTCAGATTGTGAAATTTAGATTCAGGAGCAAATTCAAATTAGAAAATTCAAATTAAGATATTCAAATTCAAACCAATTTTTAGCAGCATATAAAAATTCAGATTTATTAAATTACAATTGTTAATAATTCAAATGAAAACAATTCAATTTCAGATTGCTTTGGCATATTTTTAGGTCCATACATTTTAGGCCTTAAAAGTGCTTATTTCCCTAAAATGCCTTGTTGCAGATCTTAAATATTTTTAAACAGGTCTTAATTCTTTGTCAAATTCTTTGTTCTTTAATTTCTTTGTCCAAGCAAAGCTAATCAGTACAACCAAAAATTTATCTTAAAAAAAAAAAAAACATTTAACAAAACTGGCATTTTTAAACTCTATTTACCAATCTGGTTTAATCATCTTTCTTTAAATAACATTGTTTATAAATAAGTGTTTGAATTTTAACGGGGCAAGTAAAAATATTTTTCACTGGCTCTTAGGGAAAACCCTTAGCATTTGTTTCTATAAGTCTGAAATTTTATTCATAATGGGCTTAAAAAGTATTACATTTGACTTGATGAAACATGCAGAAACCCTGTATATACAATGCAATTAGCATCAAGTAAAGTGTATATATACTTTTTATAGTAATAGTGATGAACTTAACCTGTGTTATTTTAAGATTTACCCAAGAATTCTATTTCCATAATTTTCTGTCTGTGGTTGAAAATAGAGACCTGTTAAACCTTTCTTACAAACTCGAAGCGATCCGCAAAAATCCATGTCAGTTGATGAATAGTGTTATGACTGTCTTTCATGCCCTATTGGGGAGGCAATTTTTCATTCATTCCCCTCTGAATGCCATTGTTAAGTGGTAAAAAAACATTCATCCTTATAACCTGTCTTGCACCTATCATTTGTTACAGTATTGCCGGGACTCTATTAAGGTGCTAAAGGATTATGAATGCACTCACATGTCTCTCTTTTTCTTTCTCTAGGAGGGTGATGGGGATGAGGACATGTGAATCCAGGTGTTTATTCAGTGGTTCCAAAGGTGAGGTGTGCTGTGTTGAGCCTCTACATGCTGGAACTGAACTCAAAGATCATCCCATTACCCAGTACTCCCTGCTGGCCATGGCGTCACTCACCAAGGTAAACTCATAGAAACACTACAGTTTCACTTCCCAAAAGTCCAAGCTTTCCATAATACAGTTTAAGTTCCCATTGTATTATACCACCTAAAGAATTGTGTTATGTTCGTTATTTATATTTTGCACACAAAATTATCAAATGATGGTTTAAATGGGCCCAAATGGCCTTTTAAATGGTCTTTTCAGCCCAAAAGCTGCAAATACTAATAAAAGCACATAATAATCATCTTTCTTTCAGTTTTAAACAACATCATGTAGTTTTGAACATTTTTAAACTGAAATAGTTTATACTAAAAACAAATTGATTTGAAAAAGCTGTTTTCCTCAATGCAAAGTAACAACTCTTACAGAACACTTTGTTTTCAGTTTATACTAGGAATGAAATGTCTTGCTAATGTTAGGTAATTTACTTTAAAAAAGTAATAGATTACAAAATACTACTGAAAAATTGTACTCTGATTACAGTACTAATTACTTCATTTAAAAATGACTGATCACTTTATTTTGAAGTTACTTTTAAAACATATAAAATAGACCTATACAAATACAAAATATACTGCAGCTCTTTCAATACTTTAATATTCACTCACGAAAGTGGGTTGAACACAGCAGCTTGACATATTTAAAATACTTAAAATTCACTCATTATTTACTTGTTCCAAACCTGTCTGTCTTTTTTTTTGTTTTCCACAAAAGAAGACTAGAAGATAACTGGATATACATAAACATTGACATATTATGCAAAATCACTGCAGTGTTCGGTGTTCTGTTTTTGAAGTAATTTGTTTAAATGTGATTTTCCAAACAAAGTATGTCAGTCAGTCATTTCTTGTAATGTGACACGCGGACAACTGGTGTGCCTGAAAAATGCGAGTGCGTGCAATATGCGCTCAGAGTATGCATGCGCAAGCTGCACATCTTCAATGGAAATAGTGAACTTGCGGGCACAAAGGACATAATATGTGAGTGGCCCCATAAGCAGCTGCGTTTCAATTCACATTTAGAAGATACCTTCGCTCCCGATCCTGCACAAAAATCCAATTTAGCTCGTTTAGGCTGAGTTAAACCGCCTTGTTTTTGGGTGCCGGTGTCCTCCTTGATGACAAGTGCTGACATGGAATGCTTTCTATTCAAGTGCTTTAATAAGTTTCTGTTCGAGTTAAAAGCAGTTAAAAGTCCCTTAGAGACTGGACATAGACTGCATTTTTGATGCAATATTTTTGTTTTTACGCTCAATGAAATCAAAGTTATGTCTGTATTTTCGCCTGAAGAAGCAGCCGCTATCATCAGTATCTTTTTCAGCTCACTTCTCCAGTAATTTAAAAGAGCATGCTTATTAACTGACATTGCAGCGGAAAATGTTATTTAAAAGAAGCATTTTTTTCTTCTAAAAATTATATTTGTAGCATAAGTAACGCAATTACATTGACTTTAGTAATTGTAATCAAACTACACAAATTTAAAATGCAGTTTGTTACATTACTGTGTTCCCCAGAAATGTGGAACATGTTACACCCAACTCTGTGTACCTCAGGACCATAGTTCTTCATAAATAAACATAATCATAAATGTGAACAAAACACTGAACATATGAGTTATTTTAAACCTATTGTTAACATGCATTTAAATACAGATTACAAACTAGACACAAAAAAACCCTACTGTCAAATGTGTTTTCATTCTGTATCGAAAACAAACTTGTTCCATTTTAAATGTTACTTAAAGTTAAAATTATACACATATTTGTTATACTTATGAAGTGAATGAATAGCATTTGTGTCAAAACTATGCAGACATTTCTACAAAACACCTGAATGCGTTTCGTCCATCATACTTAACCTCACAAACTGAATCGTCTGTCAGAAAAGCAGCATGGCCTGTCATGAATAATTAAGTAAAGTGTCTCATTAATATTTATGAGACACCAACACATCATGAAGTAGGACTCTAAAGATCCATGTGACTCGGTGCGTGTTGTCTTCAAATCCAGAAGACAAAAACAGCTCAAAAAAGCTTAACAGTTTTCTCCTACAGCTTAATTAACCATTGCCACACATTAGAAAAAAAATTCTCAGCTTCATGGTCCAGTAGACATGAGTCCAATACAGGCTTCTTTTTTTTTGTCTTATCAATCACTGTTACTTGTTTTTGTTGAGTCACCTATAAAACTGTGACAAGCAATGGGACAAACGAAATACAAAGTTACACAACAAAAATATATTAAATGTTTCATGAGAACCTGAGAAGCATATCACGATGATTTCTAGATAAATCATTTAACAGTAAATAATAAGCACTCCTAATGAGCGCAGATTGTTGTGTATATCACTATATAATTTATGCCACTTTATCAAATTGGGTGGAAATTGGGCTTGGCTTACATTGTGCTTTTAGACAGAAAGAATGTATAACATCTGATGAGTTTGATATAATCTATACCATCTGGTGAGTTTGCTATAACATCTGCTGTGTTATCTTAAGTAAGTGGAGATTTATTTGACGTAAAATAAGTGAGATCAGTACTGTCAGATGGGCTATTAGAGGTACCAGTCATCAACATCCAAACACTGGAGTGCTCTCCGTCTGACTGCAGTGTTCTTCAGCCTCTGAACTCTTTATTTTGACAGATTCTGCTGATAGGACTGAAGCCTTCACTCAAAGTGTGGATGACGTTTCCTTACGGCAAGGTGCAGTACACCCTTTCATGTTAAGAATATGTTTGTGTGGGATTGCTTTTTCAGAGCGTATTGTCATGACACCTAAAAGATAAACTTATAACCCCTTTATACAAGATTTATGTTAGTATTTGTTTTCACTGCACGTACTTTATCGGCTGCATGCTTCTCTATTCAACTTCACATATAGTGTAGGTTCAAACGTTTATATACCATACCTAACATTACTAGCAGTGATGTCCCAATTTTGAAGAGTCAGTTGATCCAAAAATGTTGATTAGAAAGAATCAAGTTATATCATGCGTAATGGGGCTGTACATTATATAGTTTCAACATTGAAATCACAATGTGCATATTCACAGTAATCACACTGCAGTATGTGCAATGTTAAGTTCATATAGTTGGTATTATGTTGTAACTATATTTTACACTAACTGGCCACTTTATTAGGTACACCAGTCCAACTGCTCGTTGACAGAAATTTCTAATCAGCCAATCATATGGCAGCAATGCATTTAGGTATCTAGACATGGTCAAGACGATCTGCTGCAGTTCAAATCAAGCATGGGGAAGAAATGTGATTTAAGTGACTTTGAACATGGCATGGTTGTTGGTATTTCAGAAACAGCTGATATACTGGGATTTTCATGCACACACATCTTTAGGGTTGAAAGAGAATGGTCCAAAAAAGAGGAAATATCCAGTCAGCAGCAGTTCTGTGGGCACAATGCCTTGTTGATGCCAGAGGTCAGAGGAGAATGGCCAGACTGGCTTGAGCTGACAGAAAGGCAACAGTAACTCAAATAACCACTCGTTACAACTGAGGTATGCAGAAATGCATCTCTGAACCCTTAACAGGTCCAACCACCAAAATTAGACAATAGAAGATTGGAAAAACATTACATGGTCTGAGCCTCAATTTCTACTGTGACATTCGGATGGTAGGGCTAGAATTTGGCATCAACAACATGAAAGCATTGATCCATCCTGCCTTGTATCAGTGGTTCAGGCTTGTGGTGGTGGTGTAATAGCATGAGGGATATTTTCTTGGCACACTTTGGGCCCATTAGTACCAATTGAACATCATGCCAATGCCACAGCCTACCTGAGTATTGTTGCTGACCATGTCCATCCCTTTATGGCCACAGTGTACCCATCTTCTGATGGCTACCTCCAGCAAGATAACACTTCATGTCATAAAGCGTGAATCATCACAGACTGGTTTCTTGAACATAACAATGAGTTCACTGTACTCAAATGACCTCCACTGTCACCAGAGCTCAATCTAATAGAGCTGGGGTGTGGTGGAATGGGAGATTCACATCATGCATGTGCATCTGACAAATCTGCAGCAACTGTGTGATGCTATCAAATCACTATGGAGCAAAATCTCCATATATGGAATATTTCCAGTACCTTATGGAATCTATGCCATGAAGGATTAAGGCAGTCCTAATGGCAAAAGGCGGTGCAACCCGGATTAAAACACTGACCATAATAGGGTAAAAGTTTATTGTATGCATGTTTTTATTGCGACTGTGAGTGTGTTTGAGCATTTCAGGAGTTTAAAGCATTCTGTCAGAAGACATTTGACCATTTGTAACTTTTAAAAACGATTTTATTGAATTATATATAGATTGAATTATATATAGATTTTTATAGATATATAGAATTATATATAGATTGATGTTATTTTACATTTGATTATTTAATTTGTGTACCTGGCTGTTGTTAGATTCCTCAGAAACCCATACGGCACCGTTTATTTCACCTTTATTTTTATATTGTATTTATATTTGCTTGTAAAATGTTTTATTATATTTTATACATGATGGATTCTCATCCAGAATCCTAACCAATCCATATTAATAAATTATTTTCCAAATTGAGTTATTTAAGCCATGGGGTGAAATTGAATTGATAAAACAATAAATATATTTTGCAGGAAAAACTAAATATTGCACTGTCAGATTTTTCCAATGTCACGACACTGGGGTTAAATGTTAAGGGGCTTTGTAACTACAGTACATTTTTCAAAATTGATACAGTTACCTATACACACTCATAGTATAGCAGTCGCTGCCATGCATTTCTGATGTAAATAAATGATACAGTGATATTAAGAATAAATAACTTTACTTATATTCCTATAGTTTACTTATTCATATCACATTAAAACCTAGACTTTTGTTCTTATTCAAAATCGCAACTATACTTGAAAGTATATTAAAGTTTATGAAAGTATATGTTTTTAGTTGTACAATTAAGGGTAATTTTGTTGCATTTGTTCAATTTATGGTGAAATGAGTGTGGGAATTTGATTTATATTTAATTAAATAAATTTAATTGATTTATATTTAATTAAATAAATTAAATAATAATTTATATCATGTCACTTCTTGTTCATTTATATCATGTTGCTGTGAAAGATCCACCCGTACACAAACACTTCCTATTTTTCCTAATTTCACTCAGGACAAATAGATCATGGTATGGCGGTAAAGTTAGTCATGACTTCAGTTTAATGCAGCCTTTTCTAATACTCACATTCATACATTAGTTTTGCCATTGATTTTCACCTTTTTATGTTGAATAAATGGCATTGTTAACTGGAATTTAAAGCTTCATTGTAATTGTTATTTGACCATCAACCAAACTGTCATGATTTGAGATTTATACATTTATACAATCTGAAATTTGAATAAATAACCTTTATATTAAAGGTGCAGTAGGTGATCTGCCAAAATGCTAACTGGTTAGCATAATATCATTAAAAATGACAGATTCACTAGATCATGTCATTCGCCAGTTAGAAAACTTTATAGTATGTTATAATACTACAATTCTGAACGAAAAACTGTATTATATTTAGCATGTTTTCAGTTGTTTAGCAAGCAAAACTTGTAATGTTCAATATTTCATGCATGCAAAGTCTCACTTTCTCACATGAGTTGTCCTAAAACCACTACTGTATGCTTAGTGGTTGGCCGGAATTAAATTTGATACTAAGCATGCTATTTAATACCGAATATGTAAAGTAGCATGGTAAAAAATATAGGAAGCCTGTCGCAAGTTGCCATTGTTCAAAAATGAACCAATGTTATGTGAATATAAAACCAACTTCATCTCAGTAAAGCAGGCTAGGCGGAATATCACTATTTATTTATGTTTTGTTGTTAAACTACATAAAAATCTACATCATTAATGCTGTAAATTGAAACGGAAAATAGTCCTATCAATCTTTCACCGGATGATTTCATTGGCTGAACAACACTTCTGTGCATATAACCCATTCATAAAACAACACAATCTATATCCGCTTTGCATGACTAAAGTAGTTTTAAAACATAACATTATCTGGCTAAAAGAAATACTTCAGCCATGGTGTCATCCTTCCTTCAGCATGCAAAAGTAACTCCAATGTTGATTCAGGATTTTAAAAAGTTTTGATTCAGCATTTGTTTTTACCGCTCTCGCTCTAGTGTCCAGGTGAATGCAGCGCACATGCACATATAAACTTTAGATCTGCATGAATGGCTGCGCAGATGTACAAATCTACATTTGTTGACAGACAGTTTGGGCTACTTATCAGCATTATGGGAATTGTCTGCCCAACATTAGTTTTATGTCTCACCCAGAATATAAAAATACATATAAATACATTTAGATCATTTACTTTAATCGTAACTATTGGAATGTGAAGAGACTTTCAAGCAGCACAACAAAAATGTTTCTGAAGACCTACTGCACCTTTAATAAGTGGTTTCCTAAAATATGACAATATTTGGCTGGGATACAACTATTTAAATATCCTGAATCTGAAGGTTCTGAACAATTTAAATATTAAGAAAATCATCTTTGAAGTTGTCTAAACGAAGTATGTTTTTATTAACAAAAATATTTTTGATTTATTTACAGTAGGACATTTTCTGAATGTCTTCAATAAACTTGACTTAATCTTCAAATAATTTTTGGCATAAAAAATCTGTAATTTTAACAAATAAAGTGCATTTTGACTAAAATATTTCCCAGCAACATAAGACTGCTTTAAAATTAAAATAAATACTGCCTATAAGAAACCTGAAACAAGTCCACATTTGCAGCATACAAAAGGGGTAATCCTGGTCTTTGTGTGACAGTTATATTGCATCCATTTGGCCTGTTGTCTCCTTTAAGCTTGTGTGAAGGTTGTTCTGTTCAATTAAATTTAGCTAAATTAGATTTTTTTACTACAGAGCAGCTGCGCATTAGCATGTTAATATCACTCAATTTCGCCTTTGTGTTATTGATTGTATTTATGGTGAAGTTCAGAGGTGCCAAACATTTTCTTTGCAACTTGTTCTCATAGAAAAGTCAGTGTAATGAGTAGTGATGCTTATTTCAGCCGGTAGGAAAAGATGCCAATTACAACCAAAGTTTAAAAAGCAGTAAGAAGAGTGGCAGTTAGAATATTATATAGCACTAACAAGGGAGTAGCAGGCTAACAGTGTCTTTGGTTTGGACTTTAATAATTGCAATTCTAAATATCTCATGTGTTTTTACATGTTTTTGAATGCAGACGGATCCTGCAAGCGTACCCTTGTTGGCTTGGCAGTTTGTGGCTGCACAGAAAGCAATCAACCCAGTTCTGGCTTTCTGTAGAGGAGACACCATCCACTTCCTACTGGTCTGTTTGAGCAATGCTATTTTAAAATTGATAAATACAATTAAAGGTACTTTAATGCTTAAAGTGTGCCATTTCTTTTATGCTTGAACATTTTAAGTGGCTGGACACACACTTGTGGTGGGAGTTTGGGGATATTATTATTATGTTAAATGAAGTCATGCCATGGATATAATTGATGTTAAAGGGATACTTATTTCAATAGTTTTCTTCTGTTGAACTAAAAAGAAGATTTTATAGAATTTTGGAAACTGGTTGTTATTGATTTGCATTTTAACGACCATTCACACGGGGCTTCAGCGCTTGACAGAGGGCGTGTCGGAAGTTGGGACCGACACGATCGTCATAGCAGCGTCAGCCAATGAAATAAGTCAGCAATAGGCCACTATCTGAGCTGATTTGCATACAGCGGTCTGATAGGCTGACGCTTCCTTTTTCGCTTAAAAAGTTGAGCAAGTCCCAACTTCTGCAGCAAGCAATGCCACTGAAGTGGCGCCGACGGATCCACAATGCAGTTTGGCAACGCCTGAAATCACCCATTCAAAGTGAATAGGAAGCGTTGAAGCTGATGCACCGTGTGAATGGGGCGTAAGGCTTGGTTGTGTTTAAAAGATGCAAAGCAATGTGTGCTCATGCTAAATTTGTAAAAAATCACGTTATTTTTGAAAAAATCTTACTGTAATTATATACAGCTACTCCGCTAACATGAAAACGACTGTCAAACGACTGTCCTAGTTTATCTGAAAGGCCTGCCCTTAAGAGGCTCTGATTGGTCAGCTAGCATAATGTGCTGTGGTTCGCGGATCAGCTCCACATTACCGGACAATAGCGTGATGCTCCTACAAGATTGTGGGTGTTTACAGGGGTTTGATGGATAAACATCAAATTTTAGTGTAAGGAATGGGTTTGTAACTAGCTAACTGTACATTTCTAGTCAAACCATCCTTCTGCAATCTTATAACAAAAATGGAAATAAGGGCAGTATTAATAGCTTCAAATGTGCGAGAGCGTTGCTATTATGTGATTGTATTGTATTGCAATATGGAACAATAAAGTGTTGATGTTAAATCAAAAGTAATTCACAAATATTTGAAAATTAAATGATTTAATGACAATAATTTGCTATGGTTACAACTGAATTAGTTACAAAATAACTAATATAGCATTGTAATAATTGTACCTATTGTGAGTAGGCCTCAAAGAGAGCCTGAGAGCAGAGTCAGAAAAGATAGTTCAGAGCAGGAAAAGAGACAGAGCAAAGTTTAACAGCTATTTCGTTTCTTTCTTGACCATGTGACCAAAGCCCAAATACTGAGATAAACAAACTGACCAATAAAAATGTTGCCACATCGTGAAACCCCCAAAGTCTAAACGCCAGGCCCTGATCTAGTCAGTTTCTGCCTTTGGAATCAGTATGGACCTTCTTGGTGAAAAAGACATGTTTTGCCATATAAACAAATACATATGATCATTTTCATCCTTACAGTAGCTAAAGTGTTAATGGTGCTAAACAGCATTTCCTGTTATTTATATTCTTGTTAAGGACCTTGCTAAAACATACCATTAATGCTAGAAACTGTGCATGTAATAAATCAATTTTAACAAATAAAAATAAAAATATATAAAATAAAACAGGTTGTGGCTTATAATCCACAGCTTCTTCTATTATGGTTCGAGCTGCTCCTTTGAGTTTTTTGCTGAATCCAGCACTGAACTGGGAGAGATTCTGGAAACTGTCCTTTGTCAAATACTAGCTATATATTTATAATTCTTTAAAGCATAATTAACATTAAATTGTAAGGACTTCTCTCTTTGTGTCATGCCCTTTGGAAGGCCAAATACAGAAACATTGTAGCAGTCTCTGCTATAACATTACAGCACCTCTAGCTATGCCCCTTCACCTCACGGAGTGTATGCGCGTGGTGAATGCGTGTAACCTGAAGCATTTGTGATCTCACCAGCCTGAATGCTTGTCACCTGATGGTCCACTATCGCTGTAGCCACTGAGTTAAAAGCTTTCTTCCCTCTATTTTGTAAGTTTGGTGATTGTTTGTACTGTTCTCATGTGTTAATGGATGAGATGGCAGGTGTCTCTGTATGTTTATATGTTCTGCAGAGCAGGAACCTGCTAAAACAAAGCATCCATGCTGAGTCAGGCCCGATTATCTTTTAATCTTTTCCTGTTTATTCAATCATTCATTTTCTTCTAGCTTAGTCCCTTTATTAATCTGGTGTCGCCACATCGGTATGAAGCGCCAACTTATCCAGCACGTTTTTACGTCGTGGATTCCCTTTCAACCACAACCCATCTCTGGGAAATCTTTTCCTGTTTAAAAAATTCTAAATAAATAAATAAATAAATAAAATGTAATTTTGTGTTGTCCCCAAACTTTGTTCGCTGTAGACTTTGCTAAGCTAACTCCTGTAAAAGCCAATTTCTCCCTTTTTGGGATTGTTGTTTATGTTCACGCATCTACATTACATATAAACTAAAGTTTAAAATATGATTATTTAATATCATTAGTACAATGTGGTCAGTCATTTTATAAAAGCCATCGACACTTTACAAAAAAAAAAACTAAATCAGTAATGTATGTTTGTAGAAAACTTGATGTTAATCAATAAATAATAAAAAAAAACTATATAATAAATGAATTAATTCATTATTACATGAAATATTTGCTACGCAAAGTTGTTTTTTTGTAACCAGACTGGGTGGCAATAATATTTAATAGCACAACATGCTTGACTATGCTAGCTAGCCGAATCTGGACCCTTTGGTCTGAAAAGTGAGAAACTAGAGGACTGGTTCAACAAATTAGATTCAAAACAAGCCATTAATCTAATTAGTGCCTCTAGTGGAACAACAACATACTTCACCCTAAAATAAAGGTCATAAAACAATTAACCCACTGTGTTATTTTTGTGCTTAGGTTAAAAAAGACGAGTCTGGCACCATCCATGTCATCAAACAAAGGCAGCTTCAACTAAACTGTGACCTAATCAGTCTGAGCGTGAGTCAGACTATTACCAGCAATCATCTGAGTTTGATTACCTTCATGGCAGTATGCTGTTTCATGGTCTCCCTTGTCTCTTGGCAGTGGATAAACCCCCGGACGCTTGTGTTGATGGACAGCACAGAAAAACTGCGAGTGGTGGACAGACCCAGTCAGGAGGAGCTGGAAACCGTGGACATGGCTGAGCTTCAGCTGGTATACAATAGCAGCCATTTCAAATCCCTCGCCACTGGTGGAAATGTCAGCCAAGCACTGGTAAGGGCCAATATCATGAGATGCCACAGTGTTCACCATTTGGTCTGGTACATATAGCTTATTGTGCAATGTATATATATATATTTTCTCCACATACAATGTTTCAGTCAACAATTGGTATTCTTGAATAAACTAGCCAAATATGTGCTTACTACTTTAAGATTCTGGCCCAATTTGGTTTTCTGAGAATAAGTGTAAATATTGAAAATTTTTGGCTAAATCTGTAACATTAGATCGCTGGTCTGACATGTTTACCTACAGCCATTTAATGACCACTGCAGTCAAATTGTTTCAAAATGTTTGAGATGCTTTACAGCGTTTGACTGCTCTTATGATGACTGTCAAAACAAGAATCAGTTGGAGCTCTAGAAAGGAAATGGCTTGGTGAGAGAAAAAGAGAGCGTTGGAGATTTTGCACGTTTCATAGGGTTTTTCATGGCTGCAAAATGAGGTGGTATCCTGATTATTAAATATATGTTACTTGATCTTGGTCTAATTTGCCTTAATTTTGCATCCTATCAGTTAAAACATTATCTTATTTTAATTACACTAAATGTAATTAAATATATCCCAGTACTTACTCCTAGGGCCATTTATATCAAAGTTGATATTTAGCCACACCACGTTGGTGTTCCGTAACATGTCACTCAACTCCCAACCTGGAGGACAAGAAGATACACACATATACTACAGACAATTTAGCTTACCTAATTCACCTATAGCGCATGTCTTTGGACTTGTGTGGGAAACCGGACCGCCCAGAGAATACTCTTATCAAGTGATAATATTATAAAGCTTCTGATTCTGTTAGACAAGCAAGAGTAGGTAAGGATTAAATTTTTTTTTTATTTATTTGTAAGTTAAGTGTTCAGGTATAAGATGTGTTTAATGTGTCTTTTAAATTTAGCTGGGAAATCATTCCACTGGTAAAGAACAGTAAATAAAAAGATTCTGAAAAGTGATTTATAGCTATATCATACACCTGGCACTAGATGTGTATAGTGCGGTTTGTTGCTATTTTCAGACCAGCGCCACTGTAATTTTCATATTTTGTGCCTCATTGTTTAAATAGCTAATACATTTGTGGCACTTTGTGAAATCATGGGCATGCTGGTCTAAAAATAAGGTGTTTTAAGGTGCTTCGTTGCCACGTTGCTATTTTGAGGAACTGAAATAGGTGGCGACAGTCCAGTGCAGAGTGTGTTAGTTATGCACCTATCCAGGCCCAAACACTTACACATTACTTAATATACACAGGATATACAGCAGTACAAAAATATCTTTACATAGAAAAAAAAATTAGATTAGATTTGTCCACCTGTCGAGTGTTGGGAGACATATGCATCACCAAATGGGGCATAAGAATATGAAGTGTGTTTGGACATAATGTTTTTTTGACCACACTTTGTTATTATTGTTTATTTATTCGTTTGATGGAAATTAGAGCTGACAACAAATCTTTGGGCTTAACAAAAAAAAATTAAGAAATTAATTATGTAGGCTAATGGATATCTTCAGTGGAGTGAGTTTCCACCATTTCCTTACTTCACAAAAGTAAAGAAATAAAGTAAAGAGAAAGTAAAGAGGCAGAATAGAGGAGGGTCATTCTTCATCCTTGCACAAATGGTCTGTTTTTGGCCCAATTTCAATTCCCTACACTGTAAAACCCAAACAATTTGAGGAAACTTATTGCAACAAACCATTTGAGTTAAAAAACTAATCCAAACGAGTACTGTAAACTCAATTAACCTATACCTATAATTAACCTATCCATTTTAGTAAACAAAGCAATTTGAGCACAGTAAAACCCTATAAATGAAGAGAACTCAAACCAACTGAGTACTGTAAAACCCAATAAGGCAACTAAACTGTTTGAGAAAACCGAGTGCTTTAAACCATTTGAGTTAAAAAACTAATCTATTTAGGAACTGTGAACATACTCCATTTAAGTTGAAGTAATGAGGTAATTAATTAAGTCATTACCTTTAACACTAAGTTCAAAACCTTTTTTAAATGAGTAGAATTAACTTTCAGTAAATTTTAAGTTGACTACACTCATTTCATTTGATAAAGTTGACAGTTGGGTTTTACAGTGTACGTCTTTAAGCTAAAGAGAATGGGGACACCCCTACTCCTCATTTTGCAAATTCACCTGAAGGGGTAGGGGTGTTCCAGTTAAGTAAGGATAAAGTTTAAGGGGTAGAATTGGAAGTGGGCCAAACTGTTTTCTTGCTAGTGAAGTGTTCAGTGAAGAGTTCAGTTTTTTCCACTTTCAAAGTCAGCCATGTAATAGCAAATGCGCCAAATAGCAAATGCGACACAACTAACTCCTTAAGGGAATGGGAAATACAACTATGGTTTTATGCTCAAAATACACCCAAAACTCATTAAGAGAATAAGCACAACCCTGTTAGACCATATGCCAGGGCGCAGAGCGCATTTTTCCGTCCTTAAATAGCAAAAGTGTATTTGAACATGCCCTTACTGCTTTTGCTGCATGTGCTATAAAACTTGCACTTAGATAGTTAAAATAGAGCCCAGAGTCTCTTTGTAATAGTACCACAAGGCTGAACTCACTTTTTAAACAAAAGCTTCATTTGGGGGATATAGATTTGTGAAAGTAAGGGTGCAGAGTCTATTGCCATTCTGTATGCAAGAACCAATGTTTTGAATTTAACGCGAGCATCAATCAGTAGCCAGTGCAAGGATTTAAGGACATGGTCTCTGTTGGGCTCATTGAAGAACAGATGAGCTGCACTCTTTTGGATCACTTGCAGAGGTTTCAAAGTGGATGATGGAAGTCAAGCTAAGAAATCATCATAGTAGTCCAGTCTAGAAATGAGGAGTGCTTGGACCAGAAGCTGCTCCGTCTGTTCGGTGAGGAAGGGCCTGATCTTTCTGATGTTGATTGTCATATGGTCTGACATTATGACAACTGAGATTTCACAGTGTGACATAAGGATAATGTTTGTGCTGTCTGGCAATTGTACAGCCACAGTTTTAAAGGGCTATAAAGAAGGTACAGGGTGAGCCCAACTTTAGATGCATGATACAAAGTTTTTACGTGAATCATGTTCCTATGGGTCATGAAACCTCTGGAATATCTTGGAATTTTAAAAGCTCTCTTCTAGTCATGGGCCGGTATAAGATTCTGATGGAATGATAATCTTGGATAACAATATCATGGTTTGATAGTATTGTGGTTACTGCTGAAAAATAAAATCTTTTTAAATGTCTGCATAATAAACTAAACTTTTTTGCTTTCAAACACAGTATATTTTATTTTGAGAAACTGCCTTTGCACGCGATATCAGAATATAGCAAATTAACCTGATACAGTACACGCGGTTACAAGTAACAAATCACAACTAAATACATTTGCAAGCTAGAGTAAACGAGGCAACAACTTTAATCGCACGTACTTACACTTGATAAATGGAGGAAGAAACTGATCCATGTCCTGACATGTCCGATCAGTTGTCTTTACTGATCCTTCCTTAACCAAAGAAGCATTCTTTGTAGCATGTAGTTTCCAGAAGTTTCCAGTAGTTTCCAACTGCTTAAAGCTGGGCTTATGCTGAGGTTTCATTTTTGGGTAGACTCAATAATATCCATCCGCAGTGTGACTTCAATCGACCGACATGTTTGTGTGTGTGTGTTTGTGTGTGTGTGTGTGTGTTTCTGTGTTAGAGGGCAAGGCCGCAGGTTTCAAATCTCCCGAGTTTGCGCGTGCACGTGAATAACTTGGTTTCAATAGTACGTCATGGCGAAACACCTAATGACTCGTTATCAAGGCGACTCGTTTAAAGCACTATAAGTCGACTCTTTCATAGATGAATCAACAGTTTTAAACACTGCACACTTACAGATTTAAGCCTTAGCTGGATATTTCACTTCACTTAGAGCTGTGTTACACGCTACATGGAAGGGCATTTTCAAAAATCCATAATATGGGGTGTTTAACTAAACAGAGGTAAATATATATGAAAAATAGCACAAAACAACTGCAAAAATAATAAAATTAAAATCACAACAACAGCTTCAGATGTGGTGTGATTGAAAATGTTAATATGCATTTCAATTTAAGTATCTAAAATTTTACTTTATGAAACTTTATTCAAGAATACATATGTGTTATTATATAGGCAGTCACTGTTTTTCATAAAAATTGGCAATAAAATCTTTTGCCGCAAGTATCATTTCTTTTTTTATTACTTTAATTTTTATTGAGATTTAAATTTTTTTTTTAAACATTTTACATTTGAAAATATGTAATTTTACAGTGTTGCACATGAAATAATTAACAAATACAAAATAATAATTAGTAATTAAAGACACAACATTGAGGGGGTTACTTTGTTACAGATTCAATGCTTTCAGCAATTGTTAACATTGCAGTAATCAATCCATTTCTTCCAGTGCTTTAGAAATAAGTCCTTTTTAAGTCAAAATGTCAATTCTTCCATGTTGCTTATTTCCTTCAAAATTTCTATCCAAACAACAATAGAGGGGGTGTGATGCTTATACCAGTATCTGGTTATACTCTTCTTACTTGCCAATTTAATATATTTACAAGGTAAACATCCTCGTTCACTGCCACATCTTCATAGTTTTCAAGATAATTTGTAAGAAAGTGTTTTGGTATCCTAAGATCTTTTCCATTTCCGTAATATTTTTGCATACAGTTGTCATTTCTAAGGTAAAAACTTTTCTAATTGGTGGAGCTAAGGAAGAATGGTTTAGTTGAATGGGCATAATTTGAAGTTACAGTGACCTGTGGCTTTTACAGAAGTGTATGCTCCCATTTGACAACCTGAGTGCTGATAGTGTGGAAGAAAAAATCTATCTTGAGTCTTGAAGAAATGCAATTGTCATTTGTGGCCAGCAAGAATACAATTACCATCTAATAGAGAGTATGCCTGCGGCTGAGACAAGGTTATGAGAACAGAGATTTAAGGTTCAAGGGTCAATGAAAAGGCCATTAGCCTGAACCCAGTGCCA